AAGACATGACCTATCTGTTGGTCCATTATACAATGTGAAGGTTGCAGAAGATACTAATGAAACATCCAAATATGAAGGTATAAATACCATCTTCCTGTAGCATAGAAGCTAGCATCCTTTCATCAACACAGACATTGTCCCAGGGCTATCAAAGGCATTCAGAGATCAGAAACTACCTGTGACCCTAATCATGATGCTACATGCCCTCAGATGGTCATTTCCCCTGTTGTACATGAGTGTCAAAGGCCTTGTGAAGGGATTCTCAGGAGGGCTGGAAATGCAGGAACAAGTGTTTCTCCCCTACTGTTAAAAAGAATTCTCTAGAAAGAATTGGTCCCCTCCTGTACTAATGAATGTTAGGGGAAATTCTCAGAAAGTTTCTTTTCATTAATATTCTCCATTTTTGAGCCAAGTATTGCACTTAATATTTCCACTGGGATAAGTTGTGCAGGCTCTCAGTTTATGCTTTCTGCTTCTTCTGTGGTCATTCTAACAGTCCATGAAATGCATGTATGGGGACCAGAGTCCTTATAGATGAACACCAGTTTAAATGTAACAAACCACCAGGGATAACCTACATCTGACTCATTCCAGGGGCTGAGTAATGAGCTAAAGCTTTTGGATGGTCATTAATAAAACAAAGTGCTCTTGAGTTAGCCAACTCTTGTCGCAGGAACTGGGGTGGAGAAGTATGGAATGTTTCTGCCCAATCAACTACATGATATTCCTGCCTACCACGACTTGGTCGTTACCAGGGCCAGTTGAGGATGGCTAATAGGTGTGTGTTAAATATATGCATAATTGAAACTGTCCTGTAGTAAAAAGTAGCCTGAACACTTTATGACAATGTTTTATTTCACCCATTGTATTTAAAACTTTTATAATGCATTTGTAATATGTAAATAAGAATACAAAGTACATTCCTAATGAATAAATGAATACTCATACTCGATTCCTTGATGACTAACTATAGCTTAGTCTGTTTTGTGTTACTATAATAACATTCCTGAGCTTTGTACTTCATACTTAGCATTCATACATGATTTAGGTAACTAAGTATTTTTAAAGGGTTATCAAGGAATTATTTCAGTGTAACAAGATAAAGTAGGGATAATAGGCAAAAAAGGGGGAAACATTTCCTGGTCTCCATTCAGGACAAGGGAGTAAAGACTCCTCAGAACTCCTTCTGAGGGTGTTGACCCAATTACCGAATCACCTGTCACTAGGCCCTACCTTTTAAAAACCCATCAGCTCTTAATACTACTCCCTGCAGACCAACCCACTGGCAGATGAACCTTTTAGGAAACAAATCCTATCCAAACCCTAGCAAACTGATAAATGTTAACATTTCCTAATTAACCCAGGGTCTCTGATTCATGTCACTGACACATGTAAACCTAAGTCACAAACTTGCTAAAGAAGCATCAAAGCCTGTGTCAACAGGAAGTAGTTACCTCAAGAATATTGATTCTGTTCCAGCTACTTGGAAGGCATAGACAGGATCATCACAATTCAAAGCCAACACGGCAAAAGTTGGCCAAACCCTACCTCAAAAACAAGATGGATGTTGGTGGCATGTGCCTGTGGTCCCAGCTACTTGGGACCAACCCTCCCCAAAGCCAGAGACCCTATATGAAAAGCACTAAAAGCAAAGGGATTAGTATGTGTCTCTGGGGATACTGTACTTGCTTAGCTAGTGTAAAGTACTGAGCTCAATCCCTTGTGCCACCATAAAAAAATAGTTTCTGAAAAAATGATTTTTAATACAACACAGCTGGAAATATATATTGATATATCTTCTTGTGAAACATGCATTTTCATTTAGACTGTTTTTCTACATTAATTCATCTTATTTTCCATTCTGAAGTTTCATTGTTCAAACATGATAAATGGCAAAGATACTGTCAATCCACCTGCTAGAATACAATTCAAACAGAATGTCAAATAAGTTAGTTATGCAGTTGCTTTGATCTTTTTCACTCAATATGTGGAAACAAAGTGAAGACATTGAAAGTAAATTTTAGTATTGTCCTTTGTTGCTCACCATCCATCTTATTTTTGGAATAATTGAACTTTTGAAGAACTTTAAGTCAAACTATGTATTTCCCAAAGCTATTGAACTCTTGAAAAAAAAAGAAATCTTTTAAATTTTTTGGTGCATTTTGGTTATAATCATTTAGAAAATTTTCCTGACTGAAGTGCCAAGTACCTTCATTGTTGGAAGGTTTTCATTAATGGATGTGAATGAAAAAGGTGGCAAAAGACATTACACTTTTTTCTATGAAAGCAATGTGATTTTAAATTCTGAAGCTACTTTTTTAGGGTGGGTGGAACTATGGGGAAAAATCTTCTATTTCTAATAGAATATAAATGGGAAAAATAGAGAAGGCATTGATTTTTTTTTCAAAATAAATTTTGTTAAACCTTGTAACAAATCATAGACACATTTTATGTGAAGAATTGTCTTGAACAATATTTAACAGAGAAAGTTCACAGAAATATACTAAAATAATGTACTTGAAGATATTTGGCTGAAACATAGATTTCAGAATTTCAAATAGGGAACTGAGAATATTTTCCATCAATGACATTTTGTTCTAAGTTTTCAAGGTACCTAAGTTCTTGTAGAGGAATTATCTCTTAATTAATTATGGTCTACAGTAGAGTCAATTAAAGTGTCAATTTAATGACCATTTAGTACAGCTCTGAGGTAGATTAAGAACAATCTCATGAAATATTAGAAATGAAAAGATGACATTAAAAACTATATATATTGAATAATAGTCCTGACATGGATTTATAGACAGATACAACTAAATTAGGAATATGTACTATTAATAATCATTCTTTCTGTGTCATTTAAAATAGTCACACAATCAGCATGAATACCTTTTTATTTTAATATGCACAATGTATACTAGGTTTTTGAAAAAAATGTTTATGAAAATAAGGCAAAATAATTTTATAGCTCTATCAATATAATAAAACCAAGTTGTCAATTAATAGACAATTCAAAGATTACATGATTTTGATTGCTTTCACTTTAAAAAACATACAGCTAAGGATGATATTTTTTCATCCTGGACAATAGTGGGCTTTTTAGCTTAGTCTTTGGATACTGAATATTCCAACTACAGCATCAAATTCATTAAAAACTAAAAGGACTGTGGAAATCGTCTATTGTTCTGAAATATTTATTCATGTTTTCTTCATAACCAGAACTTAAGTATTTGGTTGTTTCATAGAAGAAAAAAAATCAAACAATTAAAATAGGAAGTTTTTATTAAATTGAACCACATGGTAATTTGAGTCATTTTCCAAAAAATTGTTTTGACCTAAACTGGATGCTGCTGAAAAGAGGAAGCCACTTTTGCCCTTTGGGTCAAATTCCCCAGTGCTTCAAATGTTCCTTTATAAACATGAGTACTTATGTGGCAGACAGAGCAGGGTTGTCACCATTGTGCCCATTAAGAGATGTCAGCAGATTGCTGGGCATGAATGAGGTCGCTCTGGCAGCATATCAAATTTTTAACACAAACTGCTGAAAGTATCATAGTAAGGAGGAAAAAAAGAATTTTAAATTAGGATAAAAAGTTAAAATGTCTTGCAAGTTGCAAGAGGAAACAATGAATCCAAATTTTCCTCTGTATTAGATGATTGGCTAAAGGAGTACCGAATGAATGGTAGGAAAAGAGTATGGACCAGATGGCAAGAAGTTACTCAAACCATCCCAGCATCCCTAACTAGAGATGAATAAGCAATGGTGCATTCCATCTTCTGCCAGTGTAGCTTCACAAACAAGGGCAGTTTGTACTATTTTTTTAAATATTTCTGCTATATCATCCTGCAGGGTGATGAGTGCTGCTTTACTCCAGTCTTATGGAACAGAAAATATTAGATGAAAATGGTTATCTTTTTAATTTGGCATACCAAGGGTATCATATGTATGTCCTAAATTGAGAAGCATTTTCTCAGTAATTTAGTGTAAATTCAATGCAAGTAAAATTCTTGATAAGAAAGTTTTATAGAGGTGTTTGAAGTCTTAGCACATAGCAGGTGTAGTAGGCACAATGACCCAGAGAGATGGGATGGTAGGGGGAATTAACTAGTCCCAATTATAGTCAAGTTCATAGGGAAGCTAGAACATACCTTCAGAATGTAAGAAACGGTAAAAGTAGCACTCTCTGGGGAATTTTCTTTCCTCAGTTATCTGAGTCATTTCTAAATTAGATTTATAGCATCATGGCACAGTGAAAACACATTTAAGGTCTTCTGTATGCAAAGTAGGGAGAATATTCTTAGCAAGCTGAATTCTATTTCACACGAAGAAGTGGAAACTGAGGAAAAGGAGCTTATATTTGCTTCCAGTTCTATGAATAAATTATGATCAGCTGTCAAGTTTCTTTGTAAGGAATAATATGGGTAGATTGCTACCCACAGCAGTACGGTGCAATGGCATTATGGCACATCTGCAGGTGCTTGCTCTGTTTCTAAGGTGGTTGGCAAAGATGAGTAGAATGTTTCTCAGATTTGCAGTGTGCTGAGGACATTATTTTAAACGCACCATTTTGACTAAGATGCTACAGCATGAGGAAATGTGTTACGTGTAGCTCCAACATGCTAGGTTGTTACTGTGGGATCATGTCTGCAAGACTGTGATGAAGGTTACAGTGCTCTTGACATGACCTTGTGAGGATGGAGAGGAAACAAATCAGCCACGTTGTAGGGATTGCAGAATTCTGTGAGGGAGGTTGCAGACACTGCAGGGAATAGAATCCTCTGGTTCCAATGGGTTTCCATTCATCACTTCCTGATATTGAGGTAGCAACTGAGACTGGAGTTGATAAACATTTAAGTTGTGAAAAGTGTGACTTCTCTCTTGAAGTCACTCTATATTAGTTTTAAAAAAAATGTTGTGCCAGCATGGTATGACTCTTTCTGAAAAGGAACAGAAAAAAAAAATGAAGTCACTAATTTAAATCTTGCTTTTATGTTTCCAGGAATCTGAGAAAAAGGGGTTAATTGAGAGACTCTATATGGTACAGGATATTGTTTCCACCGTTCAAAACATTTTGGAGGAAATAGCCTCTTTTGGAGAAAGAATTAAAAAGTAAGTTCTGAATGTGTGTTGTGATGTTGTAAGTAAATCTGCCCCCACAGGGACTGTGAGGGAATAGAGGATGGGTCAGAGAATTCAAAAACAAAAACAAAAGCAAGAGTGTTGCACAAACCCACTTTGACTTGGCTGGCTTGTTCTTTGAGCTTGTCAGCCTCACAGTTGGGTGGTATCTCAGAACTGGGGTGACCATATGGCTCAGTTTACACTAATTGTCCCAGCCTAGCTATTAATAGTGTCCTCTTCACTCTAAGAAATGTCCTGGTTTAGGTGACAAATTATGGAATAAAAAAATAGGTTACCTTATTCAGAATGAGAAAGAGAAGTAAATATTCTGTAAGGGAGCCTTTTTTTTATCTGAATCCCAGAATATAATAAATGCCTGGAGTGAAATTTTTTTCCTCAGTTCTCCAAAAAATTGTACTGAACCAGCAGTAACATAGATAGGTAGATAGACATGAAATTAATTCACCATGAATATAGGTGTCAACAGTGGTTGACAAATTCCATGTAATAGGAGAATACATATTTTCATTCTTGTAGAACATATGGTCTCTGATATATTCAACTCTATTGTTGAAGTGTAAAAGTAGTCACAGTTGCTACATAAAGAAATGAGTGTGATATATGTTCCAACAACACTTTGAAAAACAAAAAATGTAGACAGGTTGGATTTACTCAGAGCTAATCCATGATTTTCCACTGTCTACCATTGGGTAAAAGGGCTATCTTCTTTAACTGAGTCCTCTCAGTTATACACTCTATGATTCATGTGTTTTGTTTGTTTTGCTGTATACATTGTAAACCTGTTCTCATTTGGTAGCAGTGCTTAGGAAGGTTTTAAGTGCTTTTCTTTTGAATTATGAGTAGATTCTTTCCTTCTTTAATCCAGAATCATGCTAGAATATTCTATGAATTAATTATTATTTTATCAGTCATGTCTATGTAGGTCATTCTGATTACATTAAAGACCATAAGGTTGTTGGAATCATATGAATAAGAAAGAGATTCCAATTAGTGTTAAAATCCAAGTGAAAGTTTTCTACCTCAAAATGCAGGGAAAGCAGTACTTTGTGATTAATACCAGGGAACATAAATAGCTAATATAAACTTTCTATGAACACTGTACTTCTTTCTCAGTTACATATGCAAACACATTGCCTTTGAATGCCCGTTTATTATCAGTGTGACAAAATATATAGTCCAAGATCACACAAGTCCTAAAGCATGAGTTTAGATTTGAATCTGTCCTCTTCACTGTTGTGTTATAATGTAGGAATATACCTTTTTTTTTTCAATAAGCAAGACAAATAGTAGTAAGCAATAGAATTCAATAGCACTATTGTTAGTGATAAAACTGGATGTATGGGGAGGTCCGGCCAGCCCAGAAAGGGCCATAGCAGAGAGATAGACAAAGGGCAAGTCTTTAACTCACAATTTATCAGCATCTCTGAGAAGAGGAAGGTATATGAACAAAAAATGTAGTGGGGGAGACCATGTGCACTGGATCAAAATCAAAAACTGTATGGTAGATAGAGGAAGATGGAAGGGATTTAATATATCTGTGCCATAGGGAGTAGAAATAGCAATGTGTGCAGATGAGGCATATCAAGCAGGGCCTTGAGTGGATGAAAAAGTCAGTGAAAACATAAAAAAACAATGAAGAATGTACTGGCAATAAGGAGGATAAGAGGATGTGGAGTGGGGGCAAGGCCCAGGAAGGAAGATCATGTTTGGGAAAACTGTCTCCGTTCTTAACAGCTCTATAGCACAAACGTAGCTGTTGTGCAGCTGGTAATGTTAAAGGAAATGTGTCTGATGAGAGAAGAGAGCAGAGTGATTTAAACAGACTCTGAACTCTGCAGTGCTTTTGAGTGGCAGCTGTGCCCAGCACAGCTGCAGTGGCCACATCTGAGCCGTGTTTTCAGCCCATGAACAGAGTACTGTTCTGCCCAGCTGCAACACAGGAAGGTTCATAAGTCTCAACTCCTATTAATTCTTTGGTCATTCATTATTACAGTGACCTTAAACTCTCTGCCGGGCATTCAAGGGGGATGTCATGTGTAACTCTATTGGAATTCTATTGTAATTCAGAGTTTAAGCATCAGGAAAACTTCCACCAATTTTTGGCAACTAGCAGATAGTCTTATATAAAAGATAGTCTTATATAAAAACATTTAGATCAAACTTCATTGCAGCAAATGGGTAAAACTCCAGTGGAATTTATATACATTTATAAGGAATAAATGGTAATTTTTTTTTTCTTTTTTCTACTCTACCTTCTTTAATTACCTTCTCAATGTTATACAAATTTCAAATGTGTGTTTGGATCAAGCCGAAACATTTATTCAACATGTAGCATTTATATTATCCTAGACAGCAGGCAAGCTGTGTGAGAAGAGTTACATAAATTATATGTCCTATGATTATGAAGGGATAGCGCCAACCCTTGTGTCCTTGGAGGACATAATGACATAAAGATAGATCTAGGAGGACAGGTGAGTCATTCCTGCAGATATCCCAGAGTTCAGTGTAGAAGGCATATCCAAGTGGGAAGAAGTCCTGGCTAGAAAGGGAAGTTGACAATGAAGAAATGAAGATAAGGAAACAGGTCAAGTGTGGGTGGAATCACAGGGAGGCCACTGGGAATGACAGATTGGTGCATTTTGTGTCTTATCTGAGAGTAACATGTCCAAAGGGACATGAAGTGAGGGCAGAAAGACCAACTCGCAGTCAAGTGTGAGGTCTCTTGGTCCAACCTAGGAGTAAGTGATATTATGCTACTAAATTTTATGACTCAGAGTCTTCATCTGCGGAATGGGAATGACAATAATAATTCCTTCTGTATTTCAATTTTGGAAGAATTAAATGAATGAGTACTTATAAACCAGTGGATGGCATGAAGTAATTGCTTAAAAATATCGAATATTATCCTTGACAAAATGCCTTGACTTTTCCCTCTGTGTTGTAAACCCAATAAATATAAACCCATCTGTTTTTGGGAAACATTTTAACAGTAAGATTGTGGGAAATCCATTAGTCCTTTGACTAATGAGTTGGCTGTTGAAAGGACAAATCTATTTCTGCGAATAAATCTGGTGAAAAACTCCATTGTAGTCTCTCATACAAATTCACATGGCACACCTGACACTTGCATACACACAAGCATTGGTATCTTTATTAGGTTTGCATCAGTTGGGGGGGAATTTATGTCTTGACAAATTTTAAGTTTTCTTATATATAAACTTGATATTTTTTCCATGCTTTTTGGTAATCTCTATCTCCTTTAAGGTTTGTTTTTTGTGGTACTGGGGTTTAAACTCTGGGCTTTCACCTTGAGCCACTTCACCAGCCCTATTTTTGTGATGATTTTTTTTCGAGATAGGGTCTTGTGAACTATTTGCCCTGGGCTGGTTTTGAACCGAAATCTCCCTGATCTCTGCCTCCTGAGTAGTTAGGATTAGAGGCCTGAGCCACTGGCTCCTAGCTTCCTTTAAGAATTTTGAGAGTGATTTGTGAGAGAGATTCCTAACTTCTTGATCTGTTTGGTATTATTTTTAATTGATTTTTCAGATTTTTTCCTACCTGTTTGTTATTGATGTGTGGAAGTGAAATTAATTTTTCTACATTGATTTTGTATCTAATGATCTTGGTAAAGTTACTATAATTTTCATATGATAATTGCTTTGGATTTTCTATTAGATTAACACATAGTGGAAACATAATATTTTTCTCCCTTAATTTCTAGTCCTTAAACTTTTACTTAGTGTTTGTATCTCACTGTATTGGCTACTGGCTCTAAAACAATGTAGAACAGAATTGATGTTGGCTGACAATCTTTTCTCATACTGAACTTAGAGAAAAAGCTTGCACTATTCACCCTAATGAATGATGTAAAGATGCTTTTTCAAATTAAAGAAGTTCCTTTTTATTTGCTCAGAGTTTTTACCACAAAAGTAAGATGAGTTTGATGGAACACTTTTGTGAGTTCATGGAGAAGAGCATTTGTACATTCTTCTTTCAATTTGTTAATGTGTCTTCAAGTGTTAAGCCAAATCTGTATTCCTGGAATAAATCCAACTTTGCTGTGTTGTACAATTACTTTATATATTGCTGTGATAAATATATATATATGTGCACATTTATATATATGTACACACATTTTGCTCAGGATTTTGCACCTCTGATCATTATTGACTAGACTGACTTGTAATTTTCTGGTTTTGAAAATTTCTCTTGGGTCGGTTTTCTAAATTCACAAAACAAGGTTGGATTTATTCTCTATCTGTTCTGTGGAAGTGTTTGTGTAAGCCTGGTTTCCTTATCTTAGAGAATTTGCTAGTGAGGCATCTGGAGTTTTCTTCTTGAGGTTTTAAATATTCAGCTTATATAATATCTGTATACACACACACACACACACACACACACACACACACACAGGGTCATTCCATATTTTCTTCACCTTGGTTTTTATAAGCTGTAATTTCAAAAACTTTGTCCATATAAAATTTTCTACATTTGTCCATATAAAATTTAAATCTGTAGGATTGCCCTCTTTTATGCTTTCATCCTGTTTTTTTTTTTTTTTTTTTCCTTTTTTCTTCCAGATAGAGATTTATGTTAGTCTTTAGAATCAACCAATACTTGCCTTTGGTAATATCTGTTTGCTATTTTCTTTTTTATGAATTACTATTTTTTATTACTTTCTGTGGGCTTTTCTCTGTTCCTTTCTAAGATGAACAATTCGATCACTTATTTTCTATCTTCCTTTCTAACATAAAGATTTAAAGTTCTGCAATTTCCTATAAGCAAAACTTTAATACCCTGCTAAACATTTTGGCTTATAATAATTCCATAATCATTTAAATTTAGTTGAAGTTATTTTCTAATTTTTATTATAATTTCTTCCTTGGCCAAGAAGTATATTCTTTAACTTCCAATCACTTTGGAGATTTTCTAGTTATCTTTTTGTTTCTGGCTTTTCATTTAATTTCTTTATGCTCAGAAAATATTGACCGAACAATTACCTACTATTGTACATTTAGCAACAAAGATTGACAAGTAGATTATTGGGTGTATTATACTGATTTGATTGCTAACTTTGTTCATAACTTTCATATTTGTACTAGTTTTTTAGCTAGGTTTTCTATCAATTACTTAGATTTTAGAACCTCTCCTAAGATTGTCAATTTATCCGTTTCTCCCTAAGGTTTTATTAGTGTTTGCTATCTATATTTTTGAAGGTATGTTATCAGTTTTACACATTAAAATTGTATTTTATCGGTGAATTGGCTAATGGATCAATATGAAGTAGCTTACTTACCACAAATAAAAGTCGCCTGTTTTGATGACAAATATTAATATAATTATATCATCTTTCTTTTGTTAGTGTCTTTATGATACATCCTTTTTTTATCTTTTTCTCACATGGTTTGGTTCTAAATGTCTCTTCTGTACCTGACAATCACTGTCTTTCAATTGTAGCAAGTATTCCTTTCAAGTTTAATAAGACTGATAATGTTCTTCCTCTGTTTTTCTTATTTTTTTTCAGTTTTCCTGTAATTGTGAGGAGTGGAAACACTCTTGCTATTTCTTTCAGTTGTCATCCTGTAGTTAACAGCATGACTTCCCATACTCTAATATAGTTACATTATTTTCCTTTTCAATTCAGGAGACTTCTGATTTCCATGTCTTTTAACATCTTCTATATTTTTGTACTTCGTGATTCAATGCGTGTGGATTTCCTGTCAATGATCTTGTACTATATTAATTTCTATGCTATTTAGATTTCTGTTTCATTTATTCAGTGTATTAATCATGGTGCCATGTGCCGTTTTATATTTTTAACGGTAAACTCATGTTCCTTGGATTTTTATGCAGGGATTATACTAGCCAGGTTGATAGTACATAGCACTAGAGAGGATTGTAACTTGAGTCTCCTTAGGCAACTACCAACATGGGATTCTTTCTGGTTTTAATCTAAAATATTGTACTTAAATGTCTTCAGTCTACATTGTTAACATATCCTGGGATGACAATGCTCTCTACTGATTCCACAGCCAGGACAGGCAGAGCTAGTTCTTTATGTCCACTTATGTACAGTTTCTTTCTTTTCTCCTTTCCTTTTGTTAGACTCTCTCTCACTCATCCTTACACTGAATATGAAAATTTTCTTCTTTTGGGGAGATCCTAGGATTTATTTTCTGACCCACACATGCCATGCCAGTAACAGAAACAAGTTCAAAATCTCAATATTTAGCAGTAATTACCAGAGTAAAAAAGCCTGTTAGAGCTTAGTTATCTACCAGAGTTCTTGCATCCATATTTTTTATTTTATTATTTATTATTTTGATATTAACCTACTGAAGGTTTCATATCTTCTTTTTTCTTTCCCTTTGTCTTTCAAAAAAAGGGTTTACATATTGTTAAGCTTGCATATTACTTTCTTTTTTTTTGGGTTTTTTTGTTGTTTTATTCACATTTCCTTTAAAAAATACAGCACCCTTTTTAATTTTGTTAAAGTAGGGTGAGCTCATTCGAAAGGAATACTGAAAAAAACCAGGCAAGCCCACACTTTCAACTCCATCTTCCCTCCAAGGATTTACATGCACATTTATTGTTTATCAGTAGGTCTAGCTCTTTCCACACTGTTACCAGAGGCTGACACTATGTTACCAGACAGATTTTTATCTTTTTATTTAAATTTGACTTCCATTCCAACAAAGCAACCAAAACCATCCATATCAAGTTTTAGTTCTCTGGGTAACTAGGTACTCCAAGTAAGAAGTGGAAATAGAGAATAAATGATGCTACATCTTCCATCAGAATTCATTACTTTTAGCAAAATGGGGCAGAACGTCCAGGTTGAAGGACCAGGAAAAAAGTGTGTCCGCCCATGAGACACTTACAAATTGATCACTATGACAGCAGCCCTTTTCAGAGGTAATAATGTCATTAGGTTGTGGTAATTCTCTAGAGACCCCAACAGCCCTGGATTAGCAACATCTGGACATTGTTCAGATGACACAAATTTCTGCTTCCTGCTGTTAAGGCTTCATATTACTTTCTTAAGAGGTGGTACTATCACTAGAAAGGGAATCATAATTTATTTTTCTTTCTATTTTTGAAGCTTTTCCTTAAAATGTTGATGTCAGTGCTTTCTTCTCAAATTTATGTTATCTTTGTGCAATCAATAACAAAGAAAAAGGGTAGCTAATACTTCTTACTCTGTAACAGATATTATTTACTTATTAACTCATTGAATCCCTTCAATATCTCTGTAAGGTAGATGGAGTTGTTAGTTTTCCTTTATGTAGGATGCATACAGAGATTGGTACAGTGCTTGTGTTAAGCAATGTTTGAACAAAAAATTACTTTTACATGGTAAGGTACTATAGTAATGAATCTGTCATGGTGAAGAAAAGGGTTGTTTATGTTTCTACTTTTAAGAAACTGAAAAAAGGTACAAAGTTTAATGCTTGTTTTTACTTATTTTAGTTTTGTTATATCTGAGGTGAATCCATTATAAAAATAAACAGCCAATGAAACACAGTCTCCCATTATAATCTGTGCCTGCCTCTCATCATATTTAGTTAACATTAGCTATAATATATCCTTCAGGTGTTTTTTGGGATAAAAACACATATGTGTGATAATTATACACATATCATTTAGTAATAATTGTTACAAATATGCATTTATTTCATGAACCATACTTGACCTCCATCTAGCGTCTCTGTGTCCTTGAGTAAGAATGGCTACAAATTAGATGCCTTGCCAGACATAACCTAAGCAAGTATGGAGTCCATATATCTCTTCAACACATATTGTGAATGTGCACCCAAAATGTTCTGGTACAAGTTCTATTGTGGAAGACAGAACTCAGGAATGATCCTACAAATATGTGGAAACTGAGAGCAGTTATTTAAATGATGGTGTCATGTTACCATGGATTCCAGGAGGGATACCATGGAGGAGGAATTCCAGGATTCCAGGAGGTCTTTTGTAAGAAGTCTGACCAAACCTAGAAATTAAGAAGGAAAAAACAGGAATAAATTTGGTAATGTAAAAATGAAAAATTTATTTAAAAGTTATTAGTAAGGATTTATCTCTTTACTATCCAAAAGAGAGCTATTTTAAAATACTAAGGACAAATCTAAGCAAAATGGTGTCAAGGAAAATTGATAATAGTTGACCCCCTTTCCTTTTATTTTTTTGTGTGTTTACAATGTGCCATGTACTCAGCTAACTACTAAACTGGTAGTTCTTCTTCAATTCTAGCAAAATCTGTGATCTATTTATTATTCCTGTTTTTCAGAGGGGAGATTGATACAATCCATTTCCCAAATTCACTGAGCATATTAGCAACAGAGCCTGAATAGAAACCAAGTTACTTTGCTTGTAAATCAAAGCATTTTCCTTAACAGTGGCTCCAGACATACAAATAATTTTTTCTTAGTAAATTACAGCTTAATATGATCAATAAGCATATTGTTCAAATTTACTTAAAGAACTCAGAAATTAAATACACATAAATATTTCTCATACCACAAAATGTTGATACTAAGTCTTACCAACTGAATGATGTACTTGTTCTGAATTGTTGAAGGAATGTGGTTATTTATGCAACTTAGTCTCAGCTCTAATTTGCTCACATGTAACATGGAGCTAATATTTACTTGGCATAATTATTAAGAGCATTACATGTAACTACGTGAAAAATGTTAGCACAATGTCTGACACATGCTAAATGCCTACAAGCTATTGCATGCTAGTTCCTCTGAAATCACCCAACATCTTTCTCCACTCCCCTACCCATAAAAAGAAAAACAAAAATTCTTTGCCTCTTCTTATTCCTAATATAATGCAAAGAGCCAACATGTAGTCTGTATATGAAGATGAAGACCAACTCTAGGTACCCATGAATCCTCAGTAGGGCATTGGATTTCCAGTACTGTACAATCGCATCTTAGGACATTCAGTACTGTATCACTTTTTCTGTTTCTGGATTTCCACACAAATCAAAATAGTCAATGGATACAACAAAAGGAGCATAGAGTCCTATATGAGTGATAAACAGTAAAATCACCTATATCACCTATGACTTCTGATGTGATGATTTATTGCCCAAATGCTCTCCCAGTCATTTCAGGGCACTGCTAGCTTTCTAAAGTAAATGAGTATGGAAATTCTTAATAATAGTTATATCAGATATCACAAAGTCATGAAAGCACTCTAATAATCCATAATATCCTTCCTTTCCTAAAATTTGCTGGCAACTGTGTATCCATTGAGAGAGAAAACTTTACTCAGAACTGCTCTAATGCTTAGTTTTGAAGAGTTTGGTACCCGTAACCATCATGGCAATATTGCTGTTTTGAAACTAATCTCTCTGCAGAGCCAAAGTCTTCTGGTTCCAAGAGTGCAAGTTGAATGCTGACTGATTCTTGTGCTGTTCTCCTCATTAACAGTTTTCCAATACCCAATCAGTTTAGCAGACTTTTTTTAAGTTGACACACACACAATAATTGTATATACTTATGGGGTGCACAGTATATTTCAATACATGGATACAATGTATATTATCTCCAGGTGTTTAAGGAAGCTTTTTCAACAGATTTTGTTTTACTGTGAACATGAAATACACATGACAAGAGGATACTTTGGAAGTTGTTGAGCATCACAGGAAATGACATTGATGTGTTTTATCTATAGCACCTTTAACTGGACGGTCCCATTCCTTTCACTGCTGGCCTGTTTGATTCTGACAGTAGCCACTATCACTTTGTACTTGGTTCCACTGCGCTACATCATTTTAATCTGGGGTAAGTTTGGCATGGTCCTTTTGCTACCAAGCAATTCCAGGTAAGAACCAATTACTCATTTTTAAAGTGTAACTATAAACTTTAAATGTACTCTGGTTGGCAATTAAACATGAGATGAAGGTAAGCATTTTGGGAACAAAAACTTCTAGGACCTCCCTGAAAAGCCCAGTTGCATGAATGATCAGCATAGACATTTATAGTCCCTTGCATAATTAGGATCAAATAAAAATGTGATCAGTCTTGCCATTTCCTCTGGGCTTTCCTCAAATAACATATTGCTGTTGCTTGGGAACTTTCTGGAAACACTGTGGCTCAAACAGTGAGCAAACACCTGCATCTTGCCCTTTATATAATGTAGAAGGAGCTCTGGCCACTGCCAGGTTGTGCCTGACACTTCATCTCTCTTGCAGAAAAAAAATAAGCTAACCACATACTTAAATCCAGAGGCAGTGGGGTAAGGAAGGGAATATTTTGGAACTACCTGAGCAAAGCCTGAAGGGAGAGGAAGTTGTTAATTACCAGGGAAAATGGTGTGACTGCATAAAGTTTAGCTGCTTTAGAAAAGGAAAAGCAGGAGCTAGGAGCATGACTCGAGTGATAGAGCACTTGCCTAGACAAGGCAAACTTGAAATAAATTTCATGACTTGGCTTTACACTCAAGCAAGCGATTGCACAAAATATAAGCAACTTTGTGAATCTGTCACCATGTGCGCACTGGGTTGATGTAAGGAGCCAAACTTAACTGGATAAGCTAATGCAGCTTTTATCTTATGGTTGCTGATTTGTTGGCTTTCAAGTCTAGGGATCTTCCTGGAGGTCAAAAAGATGGGGGAGTGCACTGAGTTGCATTCATCTTTAAGCAATAATGATGAGCCTGTCAGTGCTGGATAAAAGTTGCAACTACTCTAAAACGATTAAGAGTATCCACCAATATAGGACCATGCTGACAAGGAAAGCCCACACTAGGTTTTCAGAAATGGGAAGAGAGCAGTGGGAAAAACAGGGCAACTATCTTGTGAGAGCAAAATCCATTCATTCCCTAAGTTATTTAGGTGGTGAAAAAATCTTAAATCTCTCTCATTTTTAGCAAGTTCAGAAAAAGATAAAAGACATTCTAACCCTCCCCTTATTAAATGATGATCCTTATTCTGACTAGTTTGCAACAATTCTAGTAAACATGTGGTTCTTAGGAAAGAACATGAGCCTCCTTGAAGGACCATTGATAAGAAGAAATATTTTGCAAAAGTATTTCCTTAAATACATACTGAATATTGTCTGTACAGACTGGATAGTCTCACTCTTTTTCAATTTTTTCCATATGTATTAGTTTCAAAAATCACATTTAGAAGTACAACCTTAAAAATGCTGTTTATCCTAACCAGATATAATTAAAAATTACAATCCTTTGGCTACGTTTTGTTCATCTTTAAGTTCACGTAAGCTGAATGTCGTGGTCAAATCCAAGGATATGGGACTCAGACATGAACAGCTTATCTTTGATTGGCAATTGCGGGATTCCAACTTTTCTTCCTATTTACCCAAATCAGTTTTACTTTTGATCTTGGCAGCTTTCTAACATCAACTCTTTGCATGTAATAAACATTTTCTCTATTATTATTCAGTATATGGATGAATACATTTAACAATATGGAGTTGATTATGCTCTCAGGGGCCAACTCTTTGAGCTTTACCCTCTGGTTCTTTGGTTCCATGTTCTAGACAGGAGATCATATTTTATTGATGAGCTTTCTCTAGGTAATGTAGTCAAAGCCTTGGCAGTTAATACCTGATCTATTTCCTCTTATCATCATGAAAAGCTGTAGAATATATCCTGTAGTTGTATTAGGGATTTCTTCTTTTCCCAGTCAATTAGCAATTAGCTAATAATAGCAAGGTATTCCTTTGTGCATCACTTAAATGATTGCATCCCCTACACAGACTTTCTTACATAGAAAAAGATAAACTTATATGTTTTAAGCTTCTAGTGTTCCTTGTTATTAAGGTTCAGAAGACTTTTGGGGAGGCATGGTACTGGGGTTTGAAATCTGCCTCACCAGGTACTCTATTGCTTGAGCTAGCCTCCAAGCCCTTCTTGCTGATTATTTTGGGGATAGGATCTTACTTTTTCCCCAGGCTGTTTTGGACCATGATCCTTCTATTTATACTTCTCAACATTGTTAGGATGACAGGTTGCTATGCCAGCATTTTTTCCCACTGACATGGGGTCTCTTGAACTTTTTCCCCAGGCTAGTCCAGAACCGTGATCCTTTCAAGTAGCTAGGATAAAAAGTGTGAGCCACTGGTCCCTGGTTCATGGAAGACATTTTATTCTAAGTTGCTTATTCATCTTGTCATAAAGTAGATAAAGAGCCCAAATTTTTTGTGAAATTGTCCAAAGGATTAAACACATTGAAATATATGTATTAGATTTCTATATTCCATACATCCAATTAAAATTTCCACATAAGTGTTTCAAGTATCTGAATTATTTAAGTTCAGGAAAATAGTTTAATTTCATAATGCCCACAGGAAATGCTCCTGGACTCACTAAAGTCATTGAAAGGTTTTAACATGTGACACACTTTCCTCTGTAACTTTATAATTCCTAGTGTGACTATGTAGTGATAAGAGATCTGTAGTGAGTACTTGAGAAGTATTTAGGAGTACATGTTCAATGTTTGTGTTCTGTATAAATGACATTTTCTTGGGCATATCACTATTTTCTACACAGACTTATATGATATATTTCCAGAAAGCAAATCACTGAAGATTCAATCTAATTCATGCTTTCTGTTTCTTTTGAGAGATTTTTCCATAGTTTTTGTACTTGTTCTTTATCATAGGTGCTCTGGTTTTCATTTCCCAACTCAGGTCTCCATTGTTTGATATAGATATGAATTTCCCAAGCTAAACTTTGAGCTTTTTGGGAGAAGGAGTCATGACTTATTTACTTTTGTATCTCCGTTTGATAGCATATTGTCTTTTACATGAAAGGCACTCAGGGTTTGACAAAGGAAGAAGCAAGGTTCCTCTGCCCCACCCCTACCCAAATTATTACACTTGGAGTTCTGTTAGCCACTTACCTGATAAACTATGCTATTCTATTTCAAATGGTTATTCTCCAATCTAACAAATGTGCAAAGCAGCCAAGCAATTTTCCATCGCTTTTGACTCTCCAAGTGATTTTTTTTTCTACTGGAAGGCTCATTTCTATCCCACTCATCTATTCAGTTTATGATCTGGGGCCATTAATAGTGTCTTTTCCAATTGTTATCCTTTAGAATTTAGATTTCACTTGCATTTCTTCTTGGCTAAAAAAATTAATAACACAGCTGATACACCCTCTAGCTATATGGTTTAGATTAAGAAAAATCTAAAGTTAGGTCTAGTGTTTTACTGCATGAAGTCACAATTTCTACATTTAATTGTGTAATCACAGGCATCATAGTACGAAGACTCCTTTCCAACACAACCTCCTTTGTCTTCCTAGCTTATTGACATCTATGAGAATGACTACAGTCCCACATATTTTTGTAGAATTACAGGATCCTTTTGCTTATATTATCCAGTGTGATTCTACCAACAACCCTGGAAACTGCATTGGGCAAATTTTTATTATGAAGATTTCACTGTGAGAAACTGGAGATAGAGGAAGGTTAAATGATTTGCCTGAAACTGCACAATTAATACTTTATGAAGCTAGAGCTGGGCTCAGGCATTCCTGCACCATAACCTTTGTTCTATTGCCCCTCTCCCCTTAAAGATGACCAAGGAGGCTATGATCTCCTATTCACACTTGATCTCACATAATAGATAATATAGTACAATAACTGAAAGAGCCAAGCCTTAGATTCTTCAAAAAATAAGGTATCTCAGGTTTTTGAAGCATGCAATCTGAATGCCTTGTAATTTTTATTCTAAGTTTTTCAAACATAGAGAGTCTCAGTGCATTGTGGACTACTTCTGCCTTTATTGGTACATTTGAGCTACTGTGCAGGTTTATAATCTTCTCAGTGACTAAAAATGCAGTGTTTTGATCGGCTGTGATATTATCCCTGCCTTGCTGTTCATTGTAAAGACTCCAGATGCGCACACTATATATAATTAACAATAGAAGATATATCTTTTCTCAATACGTCTTTGTCTCCCTTCATCATTTTGCCTTGTCTGTTTTCTTTTGCCAAAAAGCCCATGCTACAATTAAATGTCTTTAGAATAACACAGTGAGAGTATTTTAGTTTAAAGCAACGCTGGGGGAAATTTTAGTTAGAAATGTGAAGCTTGCAGTGGGGGTAGAGGGAAGAAAGGCAAAGTGCAGCTTTGACTTGAGGAAAGGGGATCGTTTGCTGGGAACCTTCCCTAACCCAACCACCAAGCCACCATTTACTCATGAACAATGGCTAGCTCCCATTTGCAAAGCAGATGTAAATCTGACCCCCCAAAGAAAAGACTGGAGGTTAGCATTGTGTCAGGTATAATACCATGCAGGAAGTCCAGTCTTTAGATGAAAGCAAAGTCATATTTAATGAACAAAGGAAAACATCAAACCTTTTATGTGTTGGGGACTGTTGAACTTGGCTTCTGAGTAGGAGCCATTCAGAGCACAACTAAGCTGAGAATTCATTCAGCATATTGGGAATGACAGGCCTTCAGATATGATCCTTGTTAAACAAGCACCCTGTGGCAAAACTTCAGAAAGCCACCAAGTCTTTCTGCTTCTAAAATTCAACATAAAAAAGAGGTTGACATTTGGTGAATAGACTACAGCTCATGAGCTCTGGATACATGCAAAACAGCTTCAAGAAGCAGAGTAGAAGACAAGGGATGGTTGAGTGGAATTCCCCTCTACAGAGGAAACCCTAGGGGAACATGTTGTGGGCATGGCCAGGAGACCAAGGTGCAGTTGCCAAAGACTAAGACTCTACAATATATTGACATCTTATATGTTGAGCTTCCTGCTAATCACCATTGTCTACATCCTAAGTTGGCATGCATTCCATTGCTCAGACAAACCCATGTGCTAGTGATGCAGTCCATAAATTAAGTTAGCAACCATAGTAAGATAATTTTCCAATAATAACTTTTCACAGTTTCTTGCAGCAAAGTACAATCAACATGTCAAGTTCTGTTCTGCAGTGAGAGAAGAGGAGTCTGTGAAAATGAGTTGGAAGTGGAGGGGGAGAGATTGCTGCAGTTTCTAACAACAGAAACTCCTATCCTCTACCTCCTGCAGTTCCATTTGGTCCAAAGCCTCCATGCAGGGACTTGTTTTGGCTAATGAAGGGCTATTCCCATCTGGGACATTTGTTTTCATAGCAAAGAAGGCTGTTAATCAATGTATTCCAAAAAAGCCAATGAGCTCCCCAGTTTTAGTGTCTTTCTTGCTGCCCTGCTGCTGGGATTGTAATGGGGTTTTCACAGCTGAAGAAGCAGAGCCCCTCTTCCACCGTTCCCCCCTTCGTCCTTCAGGAAAAGGGACTTATGAGTGATTCCACATGACAACAACATGTGCATGACTTGAAGTCCAGTAATTGTTTTCACACTAATTTTTACTTGTGAATACTCCTTCCCTAGTCAGGCACATTTTTAAAGATAGATAGATAAATAGATAAATCTCTGTTTCTACTTTTCAGGCATAAATAAATTTACAAAGAAGCTTCGAAATCCCTATTCCATTGACAATAACGAGCTACTAGACTTCCTCTCCAGGGTACCATCGGATGTTCAAAAGGTATGTAATGGATGGTCACCACCAACAGGGACCCCAACACTGAGGTCTGGCCATCCCCAGAGCTGGAGCAGCACAAGACTGTACTACTGTGAGTAATTGAGATAAGGAATCAGAAAATCTCTAAAGTGGCCTGGCTTACAGGGAGATGGCAACAACAACAGCAACAACAAAAAACCCCTCCTTTATCCAAAGCATAAGATGATTGAGGAAAATTATCCTGAGAAAGAACTACTTAGAGATGTTAAAGGTGATCTGGAACTCCCACTGAGAAGTGATGTGTGCTGGGTTTTGTCCCTTTGATTACCCACCTCCTGAAAGAGGATAAGATGGACTCAGGGAGTGAATTTACATGAGCTCCAAAACTAAGGAACATTGCTTGTTTTTTTCCTCTTCTGGATGGCAGGCAGTTTAGGGGAAGTAGCAGACAAGAGGATTATTCTTTATATTCTTGTTTGCTCCAATTATCTCCTGAGCCTCCCTCCTGTCCTCTTTCCTATAAAGACTTTAGGGAAGCTGGGAGCATCCCTTCCTCTAATAGAGGAAGAGATGATGTGAAATAATTTGAGATCAATCAGAAGCATTAGTCACAGGTAATGGTCACATAGTCCAGCAGCGTTTCATTTTTGTGGATAACCAGAGATTAAAAAGGCAACAATGCCAGAAATCCTCAAAGAATAGCTCAATCTGTAGCCCTGCAGATTTGCCTGTTATAAATGCAGAAAGAAAGGGCAGTCAGCCATTCTCTCATGGAGAACAGTGATCATTGAATAGGTAGTTGGGAACATCATGGCCTGACATATCTTCAAGATGATCAAAGGCATGGTCCTTTATTATCTGAGAGAATCCCAAATCAAATATTGATTTTCATTGTTGGGCCCTTAAAACATAATTGGTAGCTCAGCACCTCCAGATGGATTACAGATGCATGGGGGCTCAAAAGTCTTAAAGATCCTTTTCTCCGTCATTCCACATTCTGGAGATTAAAATTGACTCTATGCCACTCTTATTCTTTGGCCTTCATTCCATGATGGAATTACCTGTTACAATGTATTTTAAACAGATGAATTTACTCTAATATTGGCATTGCATACGTAAAAAATAACCTGGCTTCCATCTTGCATTGAAGATTGACAGGTACATCATCTTGGATATTTTGTTGTCGTTTATTTATATGCTTTTGCCAAAGTGTTGCCTACATTGTGATTGGGCATAACAACCTTGGGGAATTTGGCACACATGCTAAAAATAGGGAACATATGTGGTCTGTAATACAATAGTTTCAATAAATGCATTTCACTAGCAGCCTATCAAAGCCACACGCCAAAGCAATACATTTGCAGTGTACCATCACTTAAGGCACAGTGTGAGTTCACGCTGTATCCCTGAAGAACAGAAATTTTCATCAAGCCCCCCAAAGAGTGTCTGTGTGTAGTCTGGGCACCAGCCCTCAGAGTCGGTCATCCAGGTGGGGTTGGCATGAATACAGAGATACAACAAAAGAACGTTTGAGGAAGGTGCCATACACTCGTCAGATTCTCCCTATCTCCAGGGGTGCTTTCTAGTGACACAAGGACAGTATGGGACTCCCTGAGGGCCATATTTATCACAGATGTTTTAACCATTACATTGTGAATGAAATTAATTTTTAAGAGATCAATTTCAGCATTTTATCCCCCTTAGGTAACATAATTGTCTATAACTGGAGGGTATTTTCCCCCATGATCTTAGACATTTATAAATGAATAATTCTCTATAAGTTACTGTATCATACACTAAGATAAACATTCCCAAGAGGCAATGATTAAACTTACTTATGGTTGAAACCTGGCACTTGCAAGACGACGATTATCTAGCAGAGCCAAGAGCAGGTAGAAATGCAGGCATCTCATTAGGAAAATCTGCTTTTAATATTTTGGTTTCAAGAAATGATGCATGACTTCTCAAATCCTTCCTGCAATTAATCCCTCCATGTTCCTGTGTTTAGAAAATGGTTCGTTACCTTTGAACCTTCCTTCCTTTGCCTTGGTTTGTCCTTGGGGAGCCATTAACACATGCTGTGCTGAGCTAGGGTTGCCTAACCTCCAGCCTCATGTCTGTTTGTTTTCACAGGTGCAGTACGCAGAACTGAAGCTCTGTGGCAGCCACAGCCCCCTTCGGAAGAAGCGCACCAATCTCTAGAGTGCACAGCGACTGGAATCCCACACCGATATTGTGCCACTGATGGACCAATATTGTGGATGCTTCTGTGGTACCTTGGAGCCCTGTCCCGTGTTTTACCCTCCTTCTTGTACACAAACACGTGTGCCTGTGCACACATACCCATGCACTGGTGTCCTTGATACATACATATTCAGTCCAGCAAAAGGAACCACAAGGACTGTGACAGACACCTCCTTGCTCAAGTAGCAGGTGAAGCACAGCTTCCGCGGGTCTGAATACCCTCCTTGAGAACAACAGGAGACCACTTGGGTTCCAAAATGACTTGGAATTTGTTTTCACACCTCCCACAGATTCTCATTAAGATTGTTATGCCCAGGTGGGCGTGGTTTTTCAAGCCTGTAATCCAAGCACTAGGGAGACTGAGGCAGGAGGATCAAGAAGTCAAGGCATAGAGATTACCAGGCTAGCATGAGCTACATAGTGAGACCCTGTCTCAAAAAATTATTTTTCAGGTTTTTCCATCCCCCACCCTGAGCTTCTTTCAGATTATTATTCATGCAAGTTTCTTCAGAGTTATCAAGTACAATATTATGTATATTAGAAAAGATTCTAGATGATTGTCAGAATTAGCCCACATCTTTAGGAGTTGAGATTGTTAAGGACATGTCATGCAGTTTTGGTTACCCACTTGGTGCTGGATGCCCACCTACATCATGGTCCATTGCTGGCAATGGATGCTTCAGGAGGTTCCAAGGGACCACTCTTTGGAAGAGTAAGGTTTCATGAAAGAATTTTGCTGCCCTAAAATATCATTTCTTCTGACTTCTTGATTATTTCCAAAATCAAATGTTAATATATAGCTTCATAAAGGCAGGGTTCTGGGGGTGGGGTAAAGGGGGTGAACAAATGAATTCCGAGTCTTTATAGAAAGTGAAATGAGTGAGAGACAATGATAAATGAGTCTACATACCAAAATATCATAATCACTTCAGTTGTCCAAATGTTTTGAGGAAATAGTTAAAATATATTGGCTGTCCAAAATTGTCATTTGCTTCTTTTAGGGTCAAAATAAGCTACATACCACCCCCATTCCCAGGAAAATACTGCCTCACAGTTTTCTTTTGACGGTATCTAACTTCTGTATATCCTATGACTACATAGTACACCCTCACCAGGTAAAAAAAATCTTGATTTTGTGCATATATAAAATGTATACAAATACCTATATGTTCAAATGATATTTAATCTTTAAAAACTATTTTGTTGACACATACTTTGTATGTGCAATTATATATATATGTATATGTGTTATAAAGAAAAGTTGAGGTAAAAAGACTTAATTTAATAGTGAGTTTACTATGTATTTTTTTTTTGTCTCCAGGTTGTAATTTAATAACCTTCAAACAAAATGTTTATGAAAAATGCCAAAGATTCTAATGCTTATCATCTTGCTTCTGTTTTTGTTCATATTGTATCTTCCTGGGTTTCTTTCTGGCAGAGTCAGATTTCTGCATGATTTGATTTACTTCAAGTTAATGAAGCTGACTTGAAAAAGAGTCTTGCAGAAATTATAAAAGCTCCAGTAAATGTCGTACTTGTATGTACAATAGATACACCATTTACTCAATCTTCTGCGTAAACAATGCCTCATTGTCTTGCTCCTTGCTATCACCCAGTTTGTCATAGTCTGTCATTTTGTAGCTTCCTAAGTCAGACATTTCTAAGCCAACATGTGAGATCTGATCAATCATTTGAATGAAAACTTTCAGGAACAAAATAACCCCTTATTTATTTAAAAGTGGAACCAATACTTCATTATTGTTCTTTTGCTATAGAATTTCAAAATGAAATAATTTTCCCTACAAGACTTAGTTCCTCTGTAGCCTGACTGGAATTCTCAGCATTAAGTTTATGATACAAATGCAAATTGGGATGTTAGAATAGGACTGAGCCAATCTTTAATAAACTGTATATGGAAAACAATTGTTAATTGATAAAATAGACATTGAATGTTAAAAATGAATGCTACTTGAGAGTGAAATGTTAAGATTTATGGAAGTTCGATAGTATCCCTAATCCTTAAGTTGTAAAACTCCCAGTGGATGCCTAAGTTCTCAGGTATATCAAATAATCAATTTAATAGTTTTCCACTTCAACTAAGATCTTATCACACACACTGAGGTCAGAACTGTTAGACTTTGAGATGCTTCAGCAAAACTAATATGGTGTTTCTTTTCATAATGAGTTTTTTTTTTCTTATTCAGAACCTTTGCCTTGTCATTTAAAGGAAGCAATTTATAGCTTCTCTTTGGCATATTCCAGTTTCCAGCATCATGACTCTTGTGCTTTGGGGGCCAGTAATGAGTAAAATAAAGCTTACTTGAATTGTCATTGTTGTATCTTGATAGTTAATCAGACAACATGAATGGCTACCAAGTGACTAACTGGCAGGTAGCAAATATAGCATGGGTTCTAGACAAAGTTATAATTCACATCCAGAACAAGATGGAGTACGATGGGGTAAGTTGCCATCACAGTACTCAGAATGGTGTGAAATTTTTAATTTGTGAATATTTTCTTTCTGGGATTTTTCCCATTTTATAATTTCAGCCTTTGGCTGAAGTTACCAATGATAACTGCAACTCCCAGAAAGTGAAACCACAGATAAGGTGAGATTAATATTATCTGAACCTTATGAAACAGTCTAGGATGCTGTAGATAAAATTTATAGATTGCAGATTTATAGTCTGATAATTGAAGATAAGTAGGAACGTAAAGTCCTAAAAGTTTGTCTTCACTAAGATAATATATCCATTCCCAGTCCTGTATATAGGTCTTGTAGGCATCTACAACTCAGAAGGTCAGAAACTAAGCATCACTTTTCTCTCTTGTTTTCAGGATACTTATTCCCATAGTGTCCTTCTAACTTCCTGTTTTCCTTGTTGACACTGGTGTCTTTTGGTCTGGGAGCCTCTCAGGCATCCTGCTATTAATTCCTTGCACAGTCCCCTTCATTTCACAACACATAAAAGCTAGCAAAGCCAGTGTTGATATGCTATCTTAACCCCTTCCATTCCAGTGGTCAAGTCAAGCAGTCTGTTATCTCTCAAGTCATGACAATGTGCCAGTCATTCACAGTTCCCTTTTCACCTGGAATGTCATTTCACCAGTTTCTGCCTGTGGAGATTCTACTGTCTTTCAAACCTTTCAAAAGTGGCTAGATGTTACTTTACCTTCCCCTATTCACTCTCATAGCTTCTATATCTGTCTTTGCATATTTTTATTACTATAATTGAATACTAAACATTTGTTAATTTATAAAAGAAAAAGTTATGGAAGTCCAGGTGCATGGTGTTGATGATTGTGGGTATCTGGTGAGTGCCTCCTGCCAGCACCAGATCATGACTGAGGACATGACATGGTGAGACATCAAACATGCAAACTCATGTATCTCTTATAATAAAACCATTATTGTCACCATGGGAGCCCTACCCTCATGACCTCTTCAAATCCTACTTACCTTACCAATCCCCTCCTCCAAATATCACTTCTCTGACTTTTGACAGTTAAGTTTCTAAGAAATGAATACCAGGGGACACGCCAAATTACAGAACATTCTTTCTGGCATCTGTAATAAATCAGAGTTACCAAAGCCCTTGACTCTCACCTTCTCCTACTAGACATCTCATCCTAGCTAGCACCTAAGAGATAATCCAGGAAATATATATCTGATGGACCAGGACATAAACAACTTTCCTCTCCATGCCCGTTCATGTAATTCTGTTAGAACAGAAGGACGAGGGCTGGTGGAGTGACTCAGGTGGTAGACTGCCTGCCTACCAAGAGTGAGACCCTGACTTCAAATTCAAGGACTGCCAATAAAAGCAGGATGAGCTTGATAGATAAGCATCTTGGAGAATAATTTCTTGCATAAAGTAGATGCTTATTTTTTGCAATAGTATTTATAATCCCTGGGTATTTTAATGACCAACATTTAAATTAAATATTTGGAGAAGTTTCTACCTGCATGTTAAAGGAAATATTTACTTGTGAGCTGTAAAACAATGTTTTGATCCTTTTTTGTCACTTATAACTGATCATTTAACATATTGAACACTGAAGATATACCTGAATAAGACAGATTACATTCCCTTGGTAGAGATAGATATTAAGAAGATACTTTAAGAAATGGATTGACATGCTAAGATTCAAGTTTCAAAAAAAAAGAAAGGATCATTCTAGCTGCATTCAGATCAGTAATTCCAAATGTTTAGGGAAGAATTAAAGCCTGGAATGTCATTTTACCAATTTCTGCCTATGGAGATTCTACTGTCTTTCAAACTTTTCAAAGGGGTCCAGCTCCAAAGAGGCTTTCTTGGTCCTCTGGAGGGATGGTACTTTACCTTCCCCTATTATACTCTCATACTGTATTGCTCCCAATAACTTAATGGTATCCTGCACTTTTAATAGTGGTACAGAAAAAAAGGATGAAATAGGAGTAGTAATGGGGGAAGGGTGAAAGAGGAAATGAGCAGAACTTGACAATTGCTTGACTATGAGATAAGGAGAGAATAGATAAGGATGGTTACAAACAAAAATGCTGACATTCCATAGTCTCCCTGCCTCCAGGTTTCAGAAGATGTTTTTGCCTTTCACTGAGGGAGAGAATGAGAGAAGGAGCCCTGGGATGAGCAGTGTTAAACCTGAGTTGGCTGAGACACCCCTGAAAAGGAATGATATGAGATGAAAATATGTGACTATGGTGCTCAGAGAAGAAATGCACTTTACTTAGGAGATATACATTTTAGGGGCAACACCAAGGTATTGAGCTTTGAATTCAACATTCAAGCTAGAGATAAAGACAAGGTGGTTTCAGAGTGTAGTCAACAGTAAGTTATTTTAATAGATACCAGTTTTAATTTATAGACTACCATGGCCTTAAAAATATTCTGTACAAAATACTGCACTGTGTTGCACAGAAACTACTTGTTTTCCTCTATTCACATTTTTAATGAGTAGAATGTGGGCTTTTGAGGTTCTTGTCTTATTCTTTGAGTCATGTTGGGTAGTTCCCAGATTGAATTGGTGGTTCTGTAAATGAAGGGAAATTTAAACTTGCTACTGTAGTTTGACATCATTAATGGTCAATGTGAACCATTACAAAGAATGTGGCAACTTGGTTGTGACTAAAAAGACAGATTGAAACTAGAATGTGTGACTATGAGGACTATGTAGGTTAATTAATTGACCTACAGCTAAACCTTAATGTTTTTGTGTGTCTGTTCATTGCTTTTAGCTTTTTAAGACATCTAAATGCTACTACCATTTTCCTGTGCATAATCTCTGTGTGTGAAAACAGTTACTGAACTTTGTAAATATGTAAATTTCTTATTTAGGTGGATGCATTTTTTGTCTGTCTACTACTTTTCTTATCTTTGTTGAATAAACTTGCATTTTGAGAGTTGTATTGGCATAAAAAAAAGACAAGGTGGTTAAATAGTGTGACTAAATAGGAGTAAATAGAAAGGAAAGCAGGAAGCATATCTTATCTTAGAATTCAATGGTAGCACATACTTCAAGAATGCAGGTTAGGTCAACAATATCAAATGCAGTGAGATCAAGTAAACTGAGGACAGAGTGATAGCCTCTATAAATGACATCATTTTGGGGGACCTTGAGAATGAGTAATTTCTGTGCAGTGGGTAGGAATGCATACTGAATTTGTGTTAAAAAAAAAGTGAGAGGAGGTAGAAAAATGGAATTTCTGAATACAGGTGAAACCTGGAAAGCCCTACTGCAAAAGAAAAAGGAGAGAGAGGGTAGCAATTAGGGATGAAAGAAGCATGTGAGATGATTCCAGTA